TTAAAAAGAAATTCTGCTTTGCGGTTTCAATTGATGCGATGTATAGTATATGAAGTATGTATACATTTCTTCCTAAGTACATATGCACATATTTTCATTTGTTTAAAGTTTTTAAAATTAAATTAAGTAGCAATATTTCCAATAAAAGCGATAAAAAAATTTATTTGAAAAACTAACGTACAAAAGTATTTAACCAAAAAATGTAAGCAAACAGCAATATGCAAAAGAAATGGACGCACTCCAAATATGTACTTGATTTGAGAAGAAAGGAAGAAAAATCCTCACATAGGCATATTAGGATATATATAAATTAAAAGTGTTGTTGAATGTGGCGATAAAAATAAGCGGAAAGTATCATTCAAAGGCGTGTTTGGGCTAACGCAAATATGCACTACATATGCATGTATGTATGTATGTATGTACTATGAGTATATGTACTTGAATTATTTATGACCTTTGCAGCTCAACATCACTCACCTGATACGAATGCGACTGATGCTTCTCGAAGTAGCTGAAAAGATGTAGGAAAGATGGTTAAATTCATTCGTTATATTTACAAATATAAGTAAAATTAATATCATTGTTTTAAGGTTATGTAGAACGTGTAAATGCTTGAGCAAGCTTTACTGGGCAGCAACAAGTAAAATATAGTTCAGCTTTTGCTGTTAAGGGTTGAAACAAAACGTCACCTGCTTATGTACATACAAACATTTAGGTATTTTATATCCCAGTGGCAAAAGGTAATGTTTGGGAATTCAAAATGAATGGATTTATCTACAGCGTTTTCATACGAAAGTAATGTGTCGCATGCTTTTACAAAACTATAAATAGAATATAAAAATGAATTTATAGACAAATAATAATGCCCGTGCCACAGGGTTTGAAGCCGTGACCAACAATTTGGTTGTCGAACACGCACCCATTCAGCTTATGAGATAACATGAAAATAGACATACCTAAGCTAATGCTCAAACTTTTTATTTTGTTTGTGTGTGAAAACTACACATTTTCTGCTCGCTCACATTTCTTATTTTTCTTTTCGTTCAACCGTAGTTGTTAATCTTTTCTTGGAAGGAAAAGGTAATGCTTTCCCCTTTTCCCAAGGGATGTTTTGTTTTTTCACACGCACATCCATGATCAATAAAAGAGAGCGACGATGTGTACAATTTGGGATTGTCGGCAAAAACATAAACAATATGGGTTCGAAAGACGACGAAAATTGCAGTCATATAAAAAAAATCTTCTACTCCTACAAAATTAGGTTGAAAAATGACTACGAAAATATAACACAAATACAGCGTGTAAAATAATAACTGTCGCACCTAAACAATCTTAAGAGTTTCTTCAGAAATACACTATAGCCAATAATTTTATTTTAAGTTTTACTTCATCTACTAATTGGAAACTTTTAAGCATTATTTATTTTAAATTTAAATCGATAGTAAGTGGTTGAGGAGCATGGACACGAAAAGGGACTTATTTCAGAACTACTTTTGCCAAGTCAAGAAAGCTTGTAATCGCTTTAAATCCCTACGAAAAGATAACATGGACAAAATATTTATTCAGCGTATTGTAGCAAGATTTTTTATAGCACGTACTAGGAGTATAAGGTAAAACGTGTACGAAAACTTTTATAAGGCACAACAAAAAGGGCGCAAAAAGCAGCGCGCGGACATATTCATACTGCATCCTCCCGCGGACAAAGCCAAACGTCCAAAATCAAGTGCGCCTCTTGTTTTCACCAGCGCTGAGGTAAAGCGAAAACCTCCAAAGCCATAGGACCCGATGGAATTTGCATGTTGATGCTAAAAAATATGGGTCCTGCGGGAGTGGACTATTTAACCAAGGTCCTCAACCTGTCTATGGCCAGTCTCATCATTCCAGACATCTGGCAAATGGGAAGAGTGGTCCCACTGCATAAACCGGGGAAAACGTCCAACAAAGGAGAGTCTTATCGCCCGATAACCCCCCTTTCCCTGGCAGCGAAGACACCAGAGGCCCTTCTACTCACGCACTACACAAACCACCTGACCCCAGCGAAGCATCAGCATGGGTTCCGTAAAGTACACAGCACAACAACAGCACTTAACGCCATAAACACCCAGATAACTCGTGGCCTTAACCGAACCGCCCTTGCGAGAGCTATCTAAGGCGGCGACACTGTCAGTCATTCAACGCTGCTACAAGATATATGTAGAAGCCACCTCACTGCCACAGGGACTCAAACGGTGGTCGGCGAATAACCTGAGTGGTCGACACTCGTCAGTAATCTTTAGGGTCAAAACTAGCAAACTGAGAAAAATTAAACAGGGGGTATTACAGAGTGGTGTCTTATCCCCGCTATTGTTTAATTATTACATTTCAAAGCTCCCTCAACCACCAGAAGGGGTCACTATTGTCTCTTATGCTGATGATGGCTCGATTATGGCGTCCGGGAATGGAATTGATTACTTGTGCTCGAAAGTAAACGGTTATCTCGCCAAGCTTTCTCGCTTCTTCACTGCAAAGAGCCTTACCCTCTTCCCAACGAAATCCTCGGCAACGCTTTTCACCACCTGGACGAAGGAGGTCAGACTACAACTGGGTATTCACGTCGATGGCGAAACAATACCATAACCCCAAAATCCTCGGAGTCACCCCTCGTCAAAAAACGCATGCCCGACGACTGCAATTTAAGTGTACTCTGCCCAATCCAAACGAAAGGCGACCCTGGCATTCGCGCGACCTACCGCGGTATCAACCTTCTAAGCATAGGTTACAAGGTCTTATCGAGCGTATTGTCTGAAAGACTGAAGCCCACCGTCAACAAACTGATTGGTCCTTATCAGTGTGGCTTTGGACTTGGCAAATCCACCATGGACCAGGTATTCACAATACGCCAAATGTTGGAAAAGACCCGCGAGAAAAAGATCAACACTCACCACCTGTTTGTCGACTTCAAAGCCACTTTCGACAGCACTAAAAGAAGGTGCGTATAATCCGCGATGTCTGAGTTTGGCATACCCTCGAAACTGATACGGCAGTGTAAAATGACGTTGAGCAATACCAGCAGCTCTGTCAGAATTGGGAAAGACCTCTCTGAGCCGTTTGCTAGCAAACGGTGTTCCAGACAGGGCGACTCTCATTGATGTGATTTCTTTAATCTGATGTTGGGGAAGATAATAAGAGCTGCAGAACTGAACCGCTCAGCAACAATATTTTACAAGAGCGTGCAATTGCTGGCGTACGCCGATGACAGCAACATCTTCGGTAACAAGAACCGCGAAGTCTGTTCTGCCTTTTCCAAGTTGGATAAGGAAGCAAAGCGAATGGGTCTGATGGTAAACGAGGACAAGCCGAAGTATCTTAAACAGAAAGTGAAGAATTTCGCTAGCTTGGGAACCAGCATTAACATCGATAATAATGTCAGCATCGAAATACAACGCAGAATCATTCTTGCCCACAGAAAGACAGAAGGAAACGACGGGCGTGCTTTGTTGAACTCGGCCAAAATCGCTTAGGCCAGAGGTTCCCAAACTTATTTTTGTCGTAGGCCCCTATCAAAGCCTTACTGGTTTCGGTGGACCCATATTCCCAAAGATCATCAAAAAATGTGAAGATTAAATCTAACGATGTAATTTTGCATCGCGGGTGAGTTCCAAAACTAAATTCCGAGTGGCAAAAATAAAAATAAAATATTTTCTTGTGTTCTATTTATTAAAATAATGTGATTTCACTTGCAAGTTTAACAGAGCTCGTAAAGGCATGAAAGAACTATCTCGTCTGAGGATTTATATTTTTTAAGAACACTAAATAAACTGCTCACATGTTCGGATCACTCATGAATTTGCATGTGATGTATTTGTCAAATCCTTTATTTGTGTTGATGGAATCATTTTCATTTTTATCGCTCCGAGTTTTAAAGTGATGCAAAAATATTCGTTACTACCATTTTTAAAACACAAAACTTGAAACAACAAAACTGCAAAGCTTTTTACGCCAAACGAAGTATCCATCGAGTTTCTTATGGTGGTTTCGATGGTCGAAGTGGGGAGTTGCGGATCGAGGAATGCCTGATCTAAGCCAACTGTGGCCAAAGAGTCAGATGTCTCGTTTCCAGGCCCTCCCGAGTTGCCCGGCACCCAGAGTAAAGCAAGCTCGTTATCTTTACCAACATAATTTAGTCGAGACTTGCATTGCCGAACTAGTTTTTAAGTACTTAGATGGAGGGCTGGCCAATGCTTTAAGTGCAGCTTGGCTGTACCTGTAGACGCGTAAACTTTTTCCTCCACCTATTTTCCGCCACGTAGTCTATGGGTTTGGGGATTGCAAATGCCTGGAAGACCGAAGCATAACCAGTATCCCCCTCAGGGAATTCTATCTCTCTCTAGAATCTCTTCAACAAAAGTAATGGTGGCGTACCATCCTGTAGCCTGCAATTTCCGCATTGCCTCAATCAGTGTTATACCAACATCCGTTTCTTTTTACTATGCAGGTGGCCTTTAAGGCTGAGATGAATTTTCGTGGACGCCCACGAGTCTCTTGTGGACCCCTGGTGGTCCACGTGGACCACTTTGGGAGTAACTGGCTTCGGCGGCTACAGCGCCAAATAAGAAGAAGGATAGATGTACAATGCAAAGAAAATCATATAAGTTCTCCTCAATTTTTTATATTTCCATTTTATTAGATATAGAGCTACAGCAAGGCGGGGCCGAGTAAATTTACTTAATTTATAAAAGCATTTTTATTTAAGGTATTTATTTAAAGTTCATATCAAATATGTTTTATTGCAATCTAAAATGCATATTTAAATTCATTTATACTTTTTAATAACATAAATTTACATATTCGCGTGAATTGCAAAAAGCCCTTCTAGAAGGCATGCAGGGAAGCACATTTTCAGACCTTCTTCACTTAAGAAGGCCTACTTAGTTTATATTCTATGTGTATAAGGGCAACACTGCGAATGCTACATTTGATTTAGAATTATATATAAATTGGATATATCTTTATCTGCCAGTCTTTGTTATCAGTCTAGTCACTCAAATTTTTCAGATTTTAACCTATGCCTTAAACTCTTTCCTGAAATAAATGCTTTGTCTGATGTTTCCTTTCTGCAGAACGAATTGAATAAACTTGTCTTGATTTAGGTATCGTTTTTGAGGAAGTTTTTCGTTTAACCATATTTGTTATGTGCTTCCTGGCTATCCTAAGGAAATCCCTACACCAGAAAATCATTATTTATCCCTTTAGTAGGCTCAAAACTAGATTACGCAGTTATTATATGGGCCCTTTTTACAGCTTTTTTTGCTGATATAAATTGGGGTCGTTCCGGTTACGTAGAACCGACTGGTCATGTCTTCTACGTAGGGATGTCAGCGATTAATCATTTGATTAAATTAATTGATTGTTTGCCCAATTTACGATTTAATTGGATCGTAGTTTTGTGTTTCATCAATCGATTAATTAATTGTAAAATAATCGTAAAAATATTTTCAAGAAATATGACTTCTGTAGTTGTCTAAAATCCATCCATCGAACATTCGGTTTTGCTAGCTGCATCAACTTTACTCGACCCAAGGTTTAAAAAAAAAATTAAATAATGTGCGCAGATGATCTTACGGAAACGGGTAGCACGTCGTCACTACAATCAATAGAAAATGAGTTTGATCTTTGGGCCCCTCATAAATATCTTGTACACAAACGAAGGCGAAAAAAAGATGATTTGGGTCCCCCACAAAATGAAATGAGTTTTTATTTAAATCCTAAGTAGAACTAAAGCGGAATATCATCGACGATTGGGAGGAATTGAAAGCTGTTTACCCAAAACTTTACAGTCTTTCGAAAAAATACTGTTATTTAGTTAGTACCTCGTTGCCTGCTGAGCAGTGTTGCGAGGAATTATAAATTTAGGTCTAGAATCTTCAGAAAAAAGAGCTAGAAAGGGCGCTAGTTTCATTATTCACCGATTGAACGCATAAGAAAACATAAAAAATAGATACATTACGAATTCACTATTTTACACGAAAAAAGGACTTCGCTAAAAAGTGTTTTTTTAGACTAATTAAGGGTCGCTAAACATGGAAATAAATCCCATTTATTTCCCCAAAAAAAGCCTTTTCGAGATATAGGCAAAAACCTCTTTTCTAGGTATTTTGCAGTTGTTGTCAAGAAAAAAACTCCAGAAAAGCGAATACAACTAATCTTCTTTGGATACCTTTCGATAGAATAATTTAGCCTAATTGCGTTGATGTATTTTTTGTGTCAATCGTAATAGTACTTTTTGAGTTTCAGGCGTTCAAATTCGAAAGATAAGGAAACCTTCAAGCTTTTTCGAAAATTGTTCATTTTATTCATTCCTTTCAGTTGATAAACTGTAAAAAAAAATATTAAAAGGTTAGGACGAAGGACTCTTTAGCCGAGTCGGGAAAATTGAAAGAGACCACTGAACCATACTTCTAAGTTCAGCGTATGACCTCTCTGGAAGGTATATCGGGGGTTTAAATATCGGCTGGTTATACTCTCCCAGTATAAACTTGCCTGGCGAAAAAGTAATTTTTGTAGTGGTAACAGCATGATGCAAAACCGGCCCCCATGAAATCGGCACTTTAGCCCCGCTTTTCCATTTCTTTTTTCTGAAGCAAAGGCGTATTTCTCTTCATCAGAATACTTTCGAGATGTAGAGTTTAGACTCGTTTATGTATATTGCTGTCTAAATGTACTAGTACGAGTATTAGTTAGTTCATATGTATGTAAGTATATTAAAACTAATCGTTACCACGACGGTAGGGTCTACGAAATCGGAAAACTCGGGATCTATATTTGGACAAGGACTGTCACCCAACAAATTCACCAAAAACTATTTGGTATATTTTTACGCTATTACAATAACAAAACGACTAGTTTCTTTCTACATATGCGGGTTTATATTGTCAAAATTCTCCCTTTGATTTAATGGCAGAACCGTTCGTTTTCATGTTGTAGAAACATTTTAAATTTAACGGATTAATTGCTGACACAATAAAATCCGCTCATAGTAACATCTTTTTCTATAACGATTGAAGCTCTTGTTTCCAATAGTTGATATTTCTGAGGTATGAAAATTTTAGAATGAAAAGACATAAAAAGCAACAAACATAGGAAACATCAAAAGACAAATTCAAAACTCGTGTGTGGGACCTGAATATTTAATATTTTGTTAATATGTTTTAAAAGATATAAAGAATGGAAAATCATAAAGTGTATTTTCCTTTTTAACTGTTTTATGTTTGTTATTTAAATTCGAAGTTGGTGTTAGTCGTTCCGACTAACAAGCCCGCAGATAGGGTCAAAAGAGCGAAGACCTTCCAGGTTTAATTTTTCTGACGAACTTGTAATTTTGAGTTGTCACTTTTGAAGATCGTGCACTTCTGCAAAATTTACTCTAAGATTTATAAAAAACACTAAAGAATGATTTCGTACGGAACCGCTTAAATTAATAATAATAAAAGTAATAGATTGGCGCTTGCACATAAGTTAAGTGCTTGGGCGATCCTCCGATTTTTGACGTGCGCCTTGATATTGTCACATAAAGGGGAGGGACTTACAGTTTTACGCCGACTGCGAACGGCAAATGTATTTTTATAAGATGCTGTTTTTCATGGCAGAAATACACTAGGTTATGGCGAACCTCAGGCACGCGTCCCATTGATGGCACGCAACAAAAAAATTTGGGTACGGTATTAATTGAGGACTCATTTGCTCAATTATCAGTAGTAGTATCCCAGTAGATAATTTAAGGAGGCGTTCCACTCTACATTCCTTTCTACTGTCTTTTTTGAATGGAGTGGCACAAATTGAAATCGCTGCCTAAGGAAGGGCTTTTATAGGACGTACTTGAGAAGGCCTTTTGGAAGAGGCCTTTTAAAGGTGCTTCTTTAATTTATAAAAATCATACAACTTTGAAGTATTTATTTATTTATTTCATATCAAATATGTGTTATTGCAACTTAATGTTTATTGAAATTTATCTGTAATGCTAAATAATATAAATTTATGAATTCGCGTAGATTGTAAATGGATAATCCCTTCTAGAAGGCATACAAGGAAGCACTTTTTTCACCTTATAGAATGGCTTTACTCAAGAAGGCCTACCTAAATTATCTTCTGGGATACTACCAAATCTACACAATTTCTTTTTTTCGTTTAAATTGGAGATCAAAGCAAGATCTACTCACACCCAAGAAAACTGGTCAGAAGAGCCAAAAATATAGACAGCAGCCAACAAACTCCACATAAGACATTCGTCAATAAGCATCATTCATCAATAAGCTTTGTGCCCAAGGCATGGCTTCGCCTCCCTTGGGGATATAATGGGCGTAGTTCTCAAAAATATTGACTCTAAATTTAATGGCAACTTTTTTGGCAGATCTTACATTGATTATGGAATGAATAAATAAATAAATAATTTGAATGAATAAATAAATAAATAAATAATTTTGTCAAAAAGCTGCAACTAACTTTAGTGTCGTCTTTATTTTGTCAATGAATATGCCCCATGGTTTCCAAAAATTAAAAATTTTTGCCAAACTTAACAAATTAAAATTCAGATTTGGATTTAGATGAAGTCACTGAAGTGTTTTCTTTGATAATAAATTCACTCATGGACGAAATATCATCGAAGTTTTATGAATTCAAGGATTTATCGACACTCAAATTTATTATGTATCCTGATACGATATAACTTGATAAACTGAACCAATTTCAAATTTCATTAGCTAGAAAGATTTTGAAATGCAGCTGATTGAGTTCCAGTGTAATTCAATATGGACTAAAAACTTAGGCGAAACAAGCAAACAGTTAGAATCAATCGAATTAGAGTCGCCCAATATGAGCAAAAATGCTAATACTAAAATTTTGAAAACTTGGAATTCAATTCCAGACATACATATTAGCTGTCTGCAGACGAGGTACACAAAGACAATTAAGAGACGCCTAATTCGTTTTTTTTTCACGGTCATAAGTCATGGCTTATTTTTGGCCCGAAATGGCTACAGTGAATAATTCTTTGGAAATAATGGCACGAATATATATAAAGTTTCGCCGCCCCTGCACTAGGAGGTTTTGCCATTGATTGCCGAGTGGCGACCGTATTTTTATTTTTTATTTTTTTTGGAGTTGCGTTGAACCAGGTTTGAACCCAGGCTCTGCGGAATGGTAGCCCGCACTGCACCACAGCGGCTGCAAAATGTGCTTCATTTATGATTTTACGCAATTATTTTGTTATAAACAACATTCCAAAAGAAAAACTACGTTTCTACATACATTTTTGTGCTTAGGTTATTTCCGTTTTCGTAAACGAAATAAGCAAGAAATATGTATATTAACCGGCAGTGGGCGGACATACTATTAACATTGGCAGACTTTATCAAATACCGAAATTTTTTCCCGAGCGAAATCATCTGCAACTCATGAAGTTAATTAATGGTTTATATCAATATATATGCTACTATATGTTCTGATTGAAGAAAAATACAGAAGTAAAAGAAAATTGTTGAAAATAATTACCGCATATGAGAAAAATATGTAGCAAAGGCTAAAGCTAAGTAATGGCAACGTCAACGACGATTCGTGATGGAAAGGTGCAGCAGTTGTAGAAATCACATCAGCGGCAGCAGCAGCAGTACATATACATAGATATATGTACTTTTTAACCATGTACAATTGGAAATTCCCAGAGTTAGATGTCGTCCATCACTATTTATATATTTATGCCGATACTTTTGACAAAATATTGCTATCAGCATGAAGCAAACTACTTTTAGAAGCTCTTCAACAATTTTTTAACAATTTTTCATTGCACAGAATTGTGATAACTTTAAATAAATCTTAGTCGTCTCAATATTCAGACATTTTTTCCTCTTCGCCTTATGATATTCCATCAGAAGAAATTGGAAAAGAACGAATGTAGGAACACAAGACAATCGGAATTGATGAAGTAGACAAACAGCAGATAATCAGCCAAGGTGCAAGAAGAAATTCATGCAAAGCACACAATGAAATCAAAGCCACACGGATGGCCGGAGAATGAAATACAACGGGAAAATGCCAGCAAAAAAATTTTACCCCATTTGTTCGTGAAAAATTGTTGTGCATTGGCCTGCGTCCGCAAAGATATTTCGAGGTATTGTGTATACCTGACCCTTTGATGCAAATTGCTACCCCCATAAGATATTTGCAAAATATATTCAATAAATATAAATATAAAATCAATTTACCCATCGTTCACACGTTGTGGTTTTCTAGCATGCATTACCATCAATGCAAAGTTTTTTCGTCCAATTTTTTTTCTTCGTTGCGCCGCTGCACCCGACTTCGACAAATATGTAGTGCTCTTTTGCGCTACTCAACAATTCTACCGCTATCTTGGTTACTTTCGACCAAAATATTCACCCAAGTTTTTCTTGGCTATATCAAGTGGAAACCAAGTCTTTGGGCTTTCAAAACTTCTTCGTTTTCCTCAGAAATCACTTTTTCTGGGAGGGACGTCGTCGACTCAAACTTCGTCGTCGGTAAAAAAGCGAAACTTCAATACGGCTCTACTGGAACGTGCTCGCCCTTGCTTACGTTTTTCGAGCAGTTTTTAAAGACTTTCTTCGCTTTTTTACTTTATCTAAAACGTCCCAGTTCACACTTACAAACTTCTTTTAATTTATATACTTTTTTGCAAATTATTGGATAAGAAATTTTTATTATAATTGGGGCTAAAATTTCTTTTATCTGCGCTGCTTGCTTTTCCTATTGATATGACACTTGATTTTTCTGGTTGTTCTCGTGTGTGTTATTTGCTCCTCTGCTGTCCACCATCTTCGTAGAATACTTATACTTTCTCCCTTTAACTTATCTAATATTCCGTGGTGGGAGAGTGAGTACACTATTGGAGTGGTAGTGTGGTGAAATCTTTCTCTTCGCCGCCATTTTTGATAGAAGCACGGTTGCACTGAAACCAAGTAAGTGTTGGGCAAGGGCGCTAAGTGCTCATTTACACACGGCAACTTTTCTGGAGGCAACCTTAGAGGACAACTCGTTACTTTGAAAATGTGCCACCAAAGAACGTAAGTGTAGCGAGTGATTCTGGAACGTTTGCAAGAGGAAATTTTGACGTCAAGTTTCGTAAATGAATTTTTAATTCATCGAAGGTAAATTTATAAGAAGGGACAACTCGGTACTTTAAAAATGTGCCGCGTCGATTTTGACCGTATCTGAAACGTTTGCAACAGGAATTCGCCTCCGGTTTGACTCTGTCCGCGGCAAATTTTTTTTTTCGCTTCGAATACTGAAAAGAAGCAAAACAGAAGAAAAGCGGCAAATGTGAATTTCTGTGGTTATTTTGCACAAATGGTTGAAAAAATCTAATTTAATTTAGAAAATATATAAATTAAGGTGCAAAATATAGAATATTCGTGCATGTGTAAAATACGGAGGTGCTTATTTGTGAAAGTGTCCATGTTAATAAAAAGTCTTTGTAAGTGCAGTGTTTGTCAACAAGAGCCGATTGTTGTTAGTGTACTTTAATATAAAAATGCATTAGTTTAATAAGATATCTTTGTATTTATATATGTTTGTACCTATAATTTGTTTTCATCAGGAAATGCATTTCAAGAAGTGTGGAAAAAGTAATGTTACGAGCCATTTGATGAATAAAGTTTGTTTGTGGCCGCATATTAACAAAACTAATGTTATTATATACAAATTGCATTAACCTAATATAACATCGATGCATTTGTATTAGGGCATTCAATCCCGAAGCCTTTAACCAATGCCGGGATTTCGGGATGTAAAAATTCTTATCCCGGGATCCCGAGATTTTTCGGTATTTCGACTTCATCACAACTTTTTGCGGGTTGGCTTTCCATTACATCGGTTTTTGGCTATTTCCACAAAACTATAACGAATTTCGTCATGAAACTTGGCGGGGGTGTTAAGAATCGTATATATTTACATTTTTTATCGCTCTTTTACCATTATTAGTAATACTATTTAACTAATTCGTTGGTAAATTCTTTGCAGTTTCACTTGCAAAGTTTCATATGAAAAACACTTATATTTTTATAAATATATGATCTTTGCAATGTGTACATTAAATGTATTTTATTTTATTTTTTAACAATATAAAACGCGTTTAATTATTTAACTTCTCTTTGACAAAGTAAACAAGCAAACAAATCAAAATGGCTGAGATGGTGAATATAAAAGGTGCTACCACATGGTCGAAAATTCAACAAATTAAAACGATGGGATTTTCAACAATCTACCACAGTTTCATAATGATCTCGATAACAATAGGGAATAAATGAGTGTAATGTGTTTTTAAAATATGTTAAACAAAGAGCTCTGCATAAGGACATCACTGGGTCGGCAGCCCCAGGTTTACCTCACAGAAAGGGAATTCTAGTTACCTTATCCTTACCCACACGGTGCACACCAAAAGGAGAATTCTATTTGGTAAGGGTTATAATCCTACGCAGGAAGGAATTCTACGCAAAAATAATGTGGACGCAAGTACAAATTGGAATTTCGGCAATTTTTCTAAGGTAAAAAACATAGTGACGCGACAAAGAGAGCGACAAGACATTTTCGGATAACAGCGACAAAAACAAACCTTTATTTTTCAATGTGGCAGCACATAGTCAAGCGAAAAGCGAAGAGCATAGCGACGAAAACAAAAAAAATTGTTTTCGTTGCTTTCTGAGCTGATGGTTGCTTAACTATGTTTTGACGTTTCTTGTCTCTTTCTTCGCTATTATCAGAAAATGTCTTGTCGCTCTCTTTGTCGCGTCACTATGTTCTTTGCCTAAGGGGTCCCTAGGGACCCATAAGGAGCCTGGGTGGTCGGGCGCTTTAAAAAAAAACCATACTTCTATTATTGAATAATCATAAAATTTCCCTGCGGCGCTTTCTTATAAAAATCGATAATTCGATAAATGAAAATTTTTATTAAAATCAATACTTCACCTGCGTCGCTATTTTTATATAAAACAGTATTTCAATATAAGGTGTATACAAAAACCCCCCCACTTTTTTTACTATGCTCATCATCTGGTAGCACCAATATCTGTGTTCATTTTCACCACTTCCATGTAATCAATGAAATTTTTATGGTGAATTGTGCAACTTTAAAAGTTAATAACTTTTTAAATAAAAGCCTCCGCGCTCTGGTTTAAACTAAGATCAGCCAATCAAATGTCAGTCAGCTGTTCAATTTAAACTCAGTTTACTTAATCTCAGTTTAAACTGGCACTGAAAAACTGGCCCTAAGTATCGCAAAAGGTTCCACTATACTTTGAAAATTGGACCGAATTTAAGGAAAATTTTCCCGCATAATGCGCCTTAGTAAAATAGTAATTTAATGTTTAAATATTTTTGTTCTAAAATATATATATTACTTGTCAAAAACATTTACTCATATTTGCAGAAATTCTTTTCCAAAAAGGGGCAGCAAAGTAAATGAAGACCAACTCCTACCACACTGTAAAAGCTTTGTGTTTTCAATTGCCACCAGATTTTTCGATATTACACAGTTCTTGCACAAAATATTTGAACCAGTACAGTTATTCAGGCAGGTCCTGAAATTCACTTCCAAGTGCAAATGGCTCAAGTTCACTTTGAATCCAAATTTTGGTCTTCTGTATGTCTCGTGCTTCACGTCAAATGAATTCCTTTTTTCGTTTTCAACATCTCTTTTATTCTGTAAATGAATTAGTGAAAATCTCGGGATCCCGGAGCTGTAGTCCCGGGATTTCGGAACATAGAAAAGTGTCCGGGATCCCGGAATCCCGGGATTGAATGCCCTAATTTGTATATACATTTGCATACGTTTTGTTTTCATAGGGCAAGAATACATTTTTTCCAATTTTTTGTTCATATTCATGCAAAAAATAAACGCGTAAATGGGAAACATAAGTTGTCTCCGTCTTTCTTACATTCTAGAAGTTTTGACTTTAGATCAAAATATCATGGGCCATTTGTGCAAAACATGTATGTACATATATTTTGTTTTTTATTAAAATAAAATCCCAAGCCACTAATTAATAATTCGAAAGTTGAAAGGAGCACTGCGATTTAGAAGTTTAGAGAAATAATGGCTAAGCTCGAGATAAGTTATTTTTGCAAACCACCTAAGATTTGACTGCGGAGTTGCAACTTTTCATTTGACTGGTTATGATTTCTTCAATTTTACATTTTAGAATTTTTGTGACCCTCGCGTAGACTTTGCGCTTGTTGGCGATGCGTTTGCGGGGAGATGAGTGTCCATTGAATTATGAATGAATGAGTTTGACCTTGAAGAATATGCGCATGCGTTTATGAATGAAATTGTTATTGTTGTATTGTACATATGTATGTACGTACATTTGCATGAATGTTGGTGTAAATTATTGATTGATTTTAAATGTTCAATTTATTATTTTATTTGTTAATTAAAAGGGATATTTCATTCATAAATTACAACTTAAAAAAAAAAATAAAAATCAAAAGTTAATTTTTATTTCTGAGAGAAAATATAATGCTCAAGAAATGAGTTTTATTTCCGATGAAAGTAATAAAACTCAAAGAATAATCATTATTTTTGATGAAAAAAATAAAACTAAAAAAATAATGATTATTTCTGATCAAAAATATAAAACTCATAATATAATGATTATTTTTAACCAAAAAGAAAATAACTCACAAAATAATTATTACTTTAGAACAAAAAAATAGCACTCGAAAAATGAGTTTTATTTTTGATCAAAAAAATATAACTCGATATATGATTTTTTTTTTAGCGATTCATTTAAAATCGAAATGTAATTCTTAGTTATAATTTTTATAGATACCGCTCAAACAATTTGAAATCGTAAGAGATCCATACAGAGCATGAAAAACATGCACATTTTTATACTCGAAATTGTTCTACGATATTTTGAACCTTTGTAATATTATTTTACACAAACAATTTACTTTAGGGTTTTTAAGGTTTCTACACAACGTTGGAACTTCGTTATACTACACCGTAAAAAAGTAAGAAGAAAATAATTTAATTATAGTTGACATTTTTCAGATAATGTTTGATATGCATATGCCATGGGCATATAGCTGAGGCGTTACGTACCAATTGCGATAAAATTATGGAGAATAAATTATTTAAAAAGGGGGCGGACATTTTTTCG